ACTCCAACACACGACTGGCAAGCTGGGGGGCTATAAGTAAGCCTACGCCAGCACGCCGTCTCTCACCGCGGGCAACTCCAGAGTAGAAAAGGGTCCAGCCTCTCTCAAGGAGTTGGGTCCCAGAGTCCAAACTGTGCGTGGAGGTGAGCCCGACTATATCTAGTCGGTATCTCTCAACCTCCTGCACGAGCTCAGGCTCCTTTCCCCCCAGCGAGGTGACATTCCATGTCCCCATATCTAGAGTGGTTGTCCAGGGATTGGGCCGTCGTGGTCTCCGCCCACAACCGCCACCCAAATCACAAGGCACCGGCCCCTTGTGGGCCTTCCTGTGGGTGGTGGGCCCACTGGAAAGCGGACTCACGTCGCTTGTTCGGGCTGAGCCCGGCCGAGTCCCGTGAGCAAGGACCCGGCCACCAGGTGCTCGCCTGCGAGCCCCAACCCCGGGCCTGGCTCCAGAGTGGGGCACTAGTTGTGGTAGATGTATGTAACAACCTATATTTTTGTCATGTTCTCTTCTTACAGAGTTAAATTAAAATAGATTTTGTGTGTGACGTATTTATATTCACTGTATGACTGGTAGCTTTTCCTCACCTCCTCTCTGGGACTGAATCTCCTTCTTGGTCTGCTCCAGGATATTCCTGATGGCATTGTCTGACCCAGTTTCAGGAGTTCGGATGCGTGGAGTGATGCTCCCTGCCACAGATTGTAACAGGGAGAGATACAGAGGAGGAGGAGGGGGAGAAAGAAGAGGGGTGTGAGTGGGATGGTTGAACAGAGAGCACTTCCAAGGCTTTGCTTTTTTAATGGCTGCCTTTGAGTTTGTGCTGTCTGAGGTTGCAGTATACAGGAAGTATACAGGAACATTGCAGAGGAAGTGGTAAAGAGGTTTAAACATACAGTGGTTGGACACACTTCTCTGTGAAAACAACCACGGTCATTAGGGGCACTGAACCACGGTCCTCACAAAGTACTTTGGTAAACTCAGATTATAAAACAGGCTCACAGTGCATGAGGGTAAAAATTAGTCTTTTATATTTACAACCTGGTGGTTCCTTTTGTAGAAATATAAGAATTTATTTTTAACAAAGACTTAATTTTCCAAAACAGTAGGGAGGTGTACTACAATAAAAGTGAGTGTGTTAATGATGAAGAACCAGTGTTTTTATTAAAATCTAAAAGATAATGGAAACATATTTTTATGATGAAACTGTTCTATTATTAAGTCATTAACTTTACTCATTACATTAGGGGAACACTTCATAACGGTCGTGGTCAAACAGAAATAAGGTGTTAGGCTTCAAAAAATGCTAACATGGGTAACTAAACCATAGCTGTCCTAACAAGCTAAAAGTGAGCCATGAATATTGCATCAAAATAAAGCTGGAAAAAAACTGCAGATCTGGTATTACTTTAGCGTCAGCTAGAAATAACCAGTATAGGAAACATTAACCAAAATATAAATAAAACGAATAGCTAAAAGTCAACTAAAAACTTAATATTAGAAAAGGAGTTAACTTAAATAAGCTAGGCTTAAAGCTAGGAATGGCAGGATAGATATTATAATGCAACTTGGAGTATCTGCCAATACCAATACCAATCCAATTAGGCCATAAGGTGAACCCTGTTATCGTTTCATCTCGCTCCGATGTCTGCGAACCACACGATCTTAACTTCATTACAAAGAACGAGTTACGTAAAAACTTACTGCAAAAAGTTCCTGCCCATTTTTTATGGCGAGGCATTTTATGCCGAACTAGTTTCTTCAGGGCGTAATAAGATTTTAGTTTGCGAGCAGTGGCACGGTTTGACACGTGATCGTGCTAGACTAATCGAGTAGCTGATTGACGTCAACACTCCGGCAACATGGCTACTTCCGTGGTTTTACTTAACGTTACCGATACAGAGGAATTCTCCCAAAAGTCTTCTAAAGTGGGCCAAATGGATTCTAAACAGTGCTTTATATTCCAATTCCTAATCTGGTAACAGATAAGCTCACCGAGGGGGCAGCCTGAGAAAGGAGAGTATGAGACACTGAACACAGTGAGGGCATTCATTCGTCCTTCTGCTTTGTCGACATCACACATACAACTGCTTGTGAGTATTGACATCTAGAGAGGGAGACAATCTGTTCGCGGTGACTTGTCAACGAAACCAGAGATCTCTGTAAATGCACTGTTGAACAATTAAAGTTGTTTTGCTCATTTCACCTTTGTAGTGATTTATCATTAATATTGTCTGCATTGACTGTGTCCCTGAAAGGTTGAGGAACGGCGAACGCCAACATTATTCATTTGTTCATTTATTCACTCCTAACTAAATACAACACTGATCAACCATAAAAAAACGATCTTTATTAAAACATATATACAATATATAAAACAATACAAAACAGTATGAGAAAATGAATGGTAATGTTAACAACGCAACCACTGCAATACAACTCTGAGGCAATAGGCTACACATGACATGTTAGTCTTCGCTGTTAGTGTCAGGGCAGTTGTCATCCTTCTCCTCGATTTCTTGTGTTTGGACAGTTGCAACACCTACACAGGAACACCTACCTGACTCACAGTCACTCTCCTTGCAGCTGCACTGTATGGCATGCAAAATACTGCCAGGGACCGGATTTCTTGTCATCCATGTGACATGTAGGTTTTCATCTTCTAGGTGCCAACTGTATCCAGCAGGTGATGGAGCGCCTATATTTTGTTTGATGCAGTACCTCATGACTGCAGCCTGATAAATTGCCCTTTTGCAGTGCTGATGGAGGACATCACTTGTAGGGGGAATAGACAATTCTGGCAAGGCTGATGATGCCATACAGAAAATCTTGTACCTAGCCTCATTCACATTTTCAGCAGCTGGCCGATCATACAGGTGGCATACATATTTGCGAAGTAGTGCAAATGTTGAGTGGTCCCAGTTAAAGTTACCACGCAGATTTTTAAAAGCCTTGAGGTACTCTTAAGGTTTCTCACGTGCTACAGAAAATGTCTTTCTTTTGCATTTACCACAAAAGGCACTTATATGTATGTACTTGAATGTATGTATGCCAATCAAGGCTGAACACACACTGGTTCCGAGAGCTGATGACACCTCGGCAATGTCAATGATGCGTTGCCCGTCCCTGTGAAAAAATATAAGCTGCATGGTATGATAATAATAATAATAATATACATTTTATTTCATAGGTAAATTTGTGGTCTTCCGTATCCTCTCCTCTCTCTCATGCTCGAGACGCCTTTTCACTTTTGCAATCGCACTCTTGTCAATAAACCTCCGGTAGCACGTGGGATGGAAGGCAGCATTCTCGGGAATGCTTTCAAACTACAAATCCAGGCAGTGTTTGTAGTTTTCAGCTACGTATCGACACCCCTCAATCCGAGCCACCGTTGCAGACACTTCTTGTATGTATTCCACCGTGCGAGTGTGAAATCCTGATTTTTTCCGTGCTTCACAGAGGCTATTTGCATATAGCACTGTTATATCCTGAAGATTTCGTTATTTTACTCGTTTTTGTGAGTTTTCCTTTTCTTCGGCAACTCCACAGGCAGCCATCTTGCTTTTCTGTTTACCAAAAGCTGCTACTCTATTGGTGTAGTCCTGTCACGTGTCGACCGTGCCACCTCTCGCGCACCAAAATCTTATTGCGCCCTGAAGACGCTAGTTCTGTATAAAATGCCACATTATAAAAAATGGGCAGGGTTTTTTGCGACAAACTTTTTGCTGTAAGCTTAACATAACTCCTTTTTTATGAACTCAAGATTGTGTAGTTCCCAGACGTCAGAGCGGAATTACATTTCTGAAAGACTTTTCGTGGTTAGCCTTACGATGTAGATACCTTCATATTTCCTCCACCTAGCTGTGAACTACGGTTTCCGAGGCGATAGTGTAGTTTTTTTTCAATCTCTAATCCTAAAATTTTGACCAATCTCAGACCAACACCCCTCCTGAGTATCAGATTGAGCCATCCTTAGGTAAAGCTAGCTTGCAAATACTATCTCTACGTATTAGCAAATGATAAAAATTAGCCTTGAAATACTATCTTATAGCTATTGCTATAAGTTGTAAAAGTGATGGCTAGGTTAAGGGTTCAGTCCTGGACCTCATGGTTCTATTTACAGAAAACACAATAAAACATGGCCATTGGACAATGTGTGTGACTGACAGCTGTGACTGTCCAATAGGAGTGGAGGAGTTTGGTTCCACTTACCTCTCTGTCGGACCTGGATGGTCCTAAGTGCCAGAATGTTCTGCTCGTCAGAGAGGAACTGCTTCATTTTGATAAAAGGCTCTTTTCCTTTCACCGTCAGCTTCCTCCAGGGTTTTGGTCTGGCTAAGATCTCACTGACTGATCCCTGTGACAGGCCCAGCACATAGTGACCAAACACACGCTGGCCAATGTTATGTTTCAGCAGCTGTTCCTTAACCTGAAAGGCGATCTCTGCTGTGTTGAGCTGGTCCTCGACTCCAGCTGTGACTCTCTGACTGGTCACTGGGTAAACCAGTGTCACCACAGCCTGCTCCCACAGAGCTATGAGTGGCTGACATCAGGGCAACTTTAGCTGCATACAGGGCTGTGGGAAAAGCCATAAGGCTTTCTTTTTGAAAGTGTGGGGAAAGAAGCTGCTTGTGAAGAACGTGGTCTGCTGACTGTCGGTCCATGGAGCACGGAGACACAGAGAATGGACGGGCCAAGTCATAGCTGGAGGAGGACGAACCGTCCAGGGTGGGTGGTCTTGGGCTGGGTGATCCCCGGACATCCACCTGAGAGGAGGACGTGTGGGATCCGAGCAGTCTGCCTGTCTCTCTTCCTGCATCATCAGACTGGTCGTCGTCTGGTTAGAGAATAACATGGTTTCATTCCCAGCCCTTCACTGGACCTTTGTGGACTAAGTTTATGCAGAGATTCAAGTCTGAATAACACTCCAGAGTCCAGAAATCAATTGAGCCTGACCAATAAAAACCAGGCAGACTATTTGACAAAACTCAGTACCTCTTAAAACTCCCAGAA